AAAGCACTGCCTCAACTCAGTTGTAAACTTTTAATTAACCGAAACTAACTATTGAATGGAATTAGTTGTACTTTAATTGTGTTCATTTAGGGACATTCCTCAAGCCGAGATGTGGGACAGATCAATAAAGGAATTGAAAATTTGGCAAGCTTTTTAAGCGATTTAACATGCCATAAAATTGTCGTAAATATGATGGTCAATAAATACGATAATAAAATGTGTGTTTTCAGGAAAACACAACTATAACACAAAAAGCTCCCCGGGGAAAAGGAAAAGGATATTTATATATGCGTGCAGATATGAGGATATATATGTGCACAATGGACCCGCATCAAGAAAAGGAAACCATTGAAGCAATCAGGCAGTCCATGACCACAGTTACTGCATTCCGGACTCTACACCACCCCTGAGCCCAGCTTCTCTATTCGATTATGATAAAATGCCTTGAGGTGACCACAGCATGCAAAAGTGGGGAGATTTCGGGGACCACGAAGGATATTCGAAGAACCCAAAATAATAATCGTGCGCATAAATAAAACATTTTGAAATCAAGTGGTTTGCCCCCCAACCTAAAAATTCCCTCCTATTCGAAACCAAAACGAAACGAAACAAATAAACAAACCAGTGAGAAAACGAGAAAGGACAAAACCGTAGATGAGGAAGGAAAAACTGAAATTGAAAGTCAAGACATGAAATATTTATGTATTGTGGGTTTCCCGAAAGTTTTGTGGGTGCGTTGCCGTCTTGGCATGTTTGCTATTTGTGGTTTATATGCCAATAAATAAAAACCTTTGCCCTAGCCCAAAACAAGACATTTTAAAGTGTGTCCGATTCGGTGCTCACCAAACTGTAACCAAGTGGACCCACCAATCAACCAACCCGGTCTTTTTAGCCACCGTCCATTACCCTATTTTCGAATGACCCACACTTGGGCAAACAAATTGTTAGTTGTTGAACTCTGGCTCTGGCTAAGTTCCCTCTTGATTGAGCCGTTGGTTCTGGCCAAGGGTATTCAAGCAAGCCTCCTCTTCTACCGCCTTGTCAGCAAACTATTTGCACTTGGTTTTGGGTATTAAATTGCATAATAAATGTATCTCAAATTCCTTCTCCTGGCAACAGATTATTTTTCAAATTTTTGTGGTCGACCTGGTGGATATTTGAATGTTGAAAAAGTTTTTCTTTTTCATTTCATACAAGTGAACTAGATTGGTTATTTAGTTTGGTATTCTCGAGTGGAAAACTGTTTGATATCAGTGAATTTTATAGAAACAGTACTTTTTATTCTGTAAATCGTAACCAATCGTTTTGAAATGCTTTTAAGATGAGCTTCATAGCCAAATTCCTAGAGTCATATAATTAAAGAAGTAACATAAATGCCGTATTTTACAATAGAGAATTTTTATATAGGAACAGCAAAGAATTAGCAATAATGTATAAGCAATTTCCTGCATCATTTGTCTACTTAATTTATTCCGTGCCAAGTACAAACCTTCTTTGTGAGCCTTCCAAGCAAGGTTTCGCAAACACAAAAAACCCGACCGAAAAGAGCTAAATTATTTCCATAGAAAGCAACTTGCCATAAGGACCCGTTAAGAACTTAATCAGGAGCTGTTGACATAGCCAGGTCTATTCAACCAGCCCAGACTCTTGGCTCCCAGGACACACTGGCTTTCTTAAAAAAGAATCCTTGGCCTGAAGCAAATATGCTAAGTCCAGAATTCCTGCTCAGGCTCTCTGAGATCGAGCGGCAAGTTATTTAATTTAGTATAAAACAGTGCAATATGTATTATGTTTATTCATGGCCCATATACCGTATCCAGCCAAAATCATCCTTAACCTCTCTCCCTGCAGTCATCACTCTCGTTGGCCATTCTGTTGGCCTGGCCCGAAGGAAATGAAAAAGTTTTAGGCCCATCTGCTGCTTCTTGAGCCTCTTCATTCAATTGCCACAGGCGTCTTTGGCTTTTGTACTCCTCCGCTGCTCCTTCGATGGCTTAACCCCGACCACTCACCCTTGGCTCTTTGAGTTTTCACTTAGGCTTTTTGCATAATCAAGATAAACGATAAGTAAATTTATCTTTATTAACAAATCTTTAACGTGGCTCGGTAATTTATTTGCGGTTTTGCCCTGGTCGGCCGTCCGTCAGGAGAATTTTCACCAGCGGCCCTTTTTCTCATTTGACTGACATTTGAAATTGAGTTTTGGTCTTCGGTCTTACTTTAACATTTGGCCTTGTTGTTAAGATAAGTCTATTTTGTTGGTTAGTAATTATAGTTTATTTCGCAGGTAAAGCATTTCGTTATTCGGGTGAGATAAAACCATTTTTGTAAATGTCGTAGGTATAAGCCATTAAGTGATATAATCTCGTAAATAGATCAATACTTTGGTTATGGTACATAAATAAGCTTGAACATGCTCAAAAGTTATTGTTGTATTTTAATAAAGTGAACTGTTATTTATTTACTGAAGTGATGGCAACCTGTGTTAAAGTCTCTTTCAAGAAATGATAAATGTATTATTTCTTATTGGTGCTCTCATAGAATACAGCCAATGTCGGCTTTCTTGAGTAAAAGTTGTTTTCGTTATTCCATGGCATTTGGTGGAAACTGCTCGGGTGCAAACACGTTTCGCGGAAACAATCATGCTTGCAATAGTTTCCTGCCTGATTGTAAAGCGATTATCTGCCCTATAGGTATGGCTTAAATATGTGTTGTGTGTGTGTGTGTATGTCCGGTAGGAGTCCTTGGCGCTGGCAGGCGAACTCCTTCATCCTGGGTTCTGGATCCGAGCTGCAGACTGCAATACCCTGGCATGGCATAAAGGATGTGCAGCCGGCACACATGACTTCCGTCTGATGGAAAATAAAGAAAACGAATTGAGTGCAGGACAACGGCGTCGTGGTGGGCAAAAAAGGAGCCGGAATGCGGAGAGGAGCATCCTAGAATGCCACTGATTAAAGTCAGTTGGGGAAAAGAGCTCAAAGAAGCGCAAAAAAATGAGGAAACACGGTAAGCGACTAAAATAGCTTTGGTATTGGTTTACTTTGCCTGCACCTATAAAGTAAATAAGGAATTCGAGATGCAGTTTTCTCTGAAAGGAGCTAAAGCTCTGGCTAAAGTACCCGTAGCCGTAGCAGTAGCAGCTAAAAAGGTATTAAAGGATTACGTTGTTTGGAATTCACTATAATGGGGACATCGAAAAACTGCTATCTAAATTCTCCTCTTGCTGCCACGCGGAATTTATAGGGTATTGATCCACAAAAGAAAATTAAAAACGATGCAGGTAAGAAGGAGAATTTGAAATCCTTACAGGTTTTATTATATTATTTATAAGCAATTTACCTTTCTGTCGGCGCTTCGATTGTAAGTTGACAAGCATTCCAGATCATTCATTTCAAACGAAGCATCTTAACTTTGTTGGACCAATTATATTCAAACTGAGTTGTCTGGTAATCTCAACGAACTTCCACAACAATCAATCAATTTTCCCACTTTAATTGTTTATCGTTATCCACTTAACTTTGCCTCAAACGCCACCTTTTCAACCGGCAATCAGACAAATAAAACTTCAATTAATTGAGTATCAGAAAGTAAAATGCACACGATTCCGGCCAAACAATTTCAGTTGCCAGCGACTTTCGGTCGAGTGAGTTGTGAACATAATAGCCGGTTGGAATTCGTCATTCGGGACATGACTTTGCCAGCAATCCGCTTCAGACTGTGTATAAAGTGATAAGACCACCGGGGGGCAGGAAAGAGGGCGTGGCTCCGACAGGGCAGGAAACAAGGGAATCAAGCCATATAAAAGTTTTTACCAGCACAACAATGATGGGTAGGATACAGGCTTACACAGCAAAAAATAGTCAACACTACATATCATTTTAGTTGGTTTGGTTAGTTTGTCATAGATTTTTAGTTTCTAAAGTACTGCTTGTGGTAACCATTTTCAAAACGATTTGTGGGAAATGAAAGTTAATAGAAAAAAGTTTTTTGTTAAGTGTAAGTATAACGGTTGTTTGTGTGTGTGTGTGTGTTCGTACCATGTGGGCCACTTTTATTTGGCCGCAGCTAATTGTTTTTCGTTACGCTACGCATACCAATGCATTTAGCCATCGACCAGAACCATAACTCTCGAGTGTTTTATGGCCTCACGCACGGCAGGAGCAGGACAATATCTTGGGCCCACACTTCCTTACCCCATCGCACACACTTGGGCCATAAAATAAACCATACACCGGAAGTCCAGTACTTGGAAATTTATTAATGCCACGGTCGCCAAACGATAACTGCAATTTCAATTCCAATACCAATTCCAATTCCACTTTCAGCTTTCATTTCCAATCAAAATTCAATCTGTCAAAAGCTTAAAATCTCATTTAACGCCCGTCGTGGTTCATTGCCGATTTAATTGGCTTCTAGCAGATCCAATAAGTGAGCCAAAGCAAAACACAATTTAATTAATCGAAACTTAGAAAAGTAGTAGAAAGGCCCTGCAAATGTAGCCATGTGCTTTTTGGCTCCTCGGAGTAATCTAGAAACAATAGATGACATAATTCACATGTCTTTGTTGAGCCATTGTCCATTACTGGTTGCCGCATGCCTCGTTTACTCCGGCTTCTCTGCCATTCTTTTCGGCTTCCTTTGTTCGGAATTTTTCGCCGCTTTTTCCAGCATTTCCTCCGCCTTGTGCTGGCGACCCCTATGTGGGTGGGACAAAAATGTTTGTGAAATGAGCCGTAATAAGCTGAAAATGCCTTATGGTTTCACTCGTTGCGTCCTCCTGGTGAGGATGAGAAATTTGCTTTGTGTGGCTTATTATGAGGTTAACGGAAATTAACTTTATCAACTTGAGTAGTAAATTATGATGCACGGATTCATATATATATTTTTTCTCCCTTTTCTGGGGATTTTAAAGAAGCAATTTTGCGACCCAGAACAGCAAATCAATTTAACTTTTATGAAATATTCCAAGCATTCTTTCAAAATTAAACATATTATCCTAGAATTTTTTCATTTTAATAACCTTAAATTGACATTATTTCTTCAAAAAATAAACAATATATATCTTGTTTATTTTTAATAAGTTATAGCTATCTTTGATCTGAGATCCTACTGGCTGTCGTTGAAAAAAACCTGTATATCCTTGACGGGTCGACATTGCTTTTTGAGGCGTTCGATTTTAATGTAGGACAGCTTGAAGCACCAGTAAACTGAGTACTATAAAAGAACGTTAAATGGTTAATTAGACTCCAAATAACTACCAAACTAAATTCCAAATAAAAAGATGTACTCACCGTGCTCTGATAAACTTCCTTGAGTTTCTTGCACTGACTGAGGATCACCGTGATGGGGTAGCTGAGGTTTTCGCTCTTCCGTATTCGGTAAATCCCCTGCAGAACTTTCCAGCTCAACTGTGGACAGTCGATTAGGTAAATCTCGTTAAGGCCGGGACACTGGCGCACCATATCCAGAACCTGATACTCCTTCACGTCGTGACAGCTGGTCAGGGCGATGTATTTGTGGACTTTTGGAAACGACAACTGGCTGATTTCGCGATCACCGAAGATGCAGTTTGCCAAAACAAATCCTCTTATTTGGTTACAACGATTCAGACCCACCTCCTTTATCCAGTTAGGGTCCTGGAAGCAGCAGCAATCTATTTGAACCTGTTCCACAGCTTCCGGCCGTTGGCCTAACACACATTTAAGGCACTCTAAAGTTAGTTGACTGTCTTTTTCGCAGTGTGTTAGCTCTAGCAGACGAAGATCGGTCAGTTTCATCACCAGATCCTTTTGGCTGGCAAAAAGTCCGGTGGATAGGGATAAATCTTTCAGTTTGGAACACTGATCGATAGATTTTAAGCTCAAGGCGTCGTTTTCGAATTTTAGGAATAACCTGGACAATTTTTGGCAATGCTCCAGAATACCCGTTAGGGCAGTCTGAGTGATCGAGCCATAAAGAACGAGTAGCTCTAAATGCTGGAAATGCTCTATGAAGTGCACCTGGATTTCGCAGTGCGCCTTTAAACGTCTTACATTTCGGATAAGTTTTGGAAGAGCATGCAGTGGCCACTGGGCTATCCCCTTTACTCCGGCGCAATCTCCTTCAAAAGGACGATTAGTTGTTCTTCCTTCCAATCGGGAATTCTCATCCATTAGCAACAGTTCGCAGCGTTGCACAGAACTCAGAGACTTTATTCCCGCTCGTTCAAGGGTATTGAGGTTCTCCTAAATATATGGATTATAAAGACTTTCATTTAATTTTAATTGTAAAAGTTTTGAGCTCACCTGAAGCTTATCGGCGACGAAGTAGACGTACTTAAAGTGATCTATCATTTGGACAAGCAAGGTGGTTCTGGGCCTCCACACCGAGTTTCTTGTGAAAAGTACGAAAGTCGAGGCGTTTTTGAGTGGTGCGCCAGAGGGTGGAACAGGCAGCGGGCAGGAGGTGATAAGCACGATAGAGAATGATCTGGTCGGACATGTCTAGTTCCTGGAAAACCTTTTGCAGCTGCCTAAAATCATCGTTTTCATCCTCGTCTTTTTTTAAAGGTATATATCTATGAGTAGAATACGTTTCAGAGGCTCTGCTTATTTTGGGTTTTGAAGCATCTTCAGCTAGAACTTTAATGGGATGATGGTCTTTTTGGGAGCTGTTTATACCGTCTCCAATTTTGACTTCCAGATGGCTCTGACATAAATGAGCATTTTGAGAACTGTCCTTCGTATTGACCAAACTGTCTCCGATTTGGAACTCCACCTGCCGCCGGTACAGATCCTGTACTATTATTTGACTGGGGCTGGACATTGATATGTCGACTAAACCTTTACACACTATATATATAAAAAATGAATTATTACAAAAAGAGTCTTTGTAAATTTGCCTACAGTGTATTGGTTTTTATCAATCGAAATTTAGTTGAGTTGTAGATCCTGGTTTCCCTATTTAAAAGCTGTAGATTCTTTATTAGTTTTATAATTTGTGCTATAGAAAAAAATCAGGTTTTCCCGCTCATTGGCACTTCAAAATAGTCAAATCGTAAATCTCATTTGCAAGGGGGAAAGCATGGCCTAGTCTTGATGTTCCACCATTTCATTTAATTGGCTATTATAATTACTTAAACGAAATTTTACCAATTAAACTTTCTTTTGCCAGAGCTTAATTGTTGGCGCAAAAACTTTATTGCAATGTTAATTGTGCGAATTATGCTGCAAAAAGAAGCTAACAAACAGGCATACACACACACACAAACATACACTAGTATACCCAGTTTGCCGTAACAAGCCCTAAACAAAGGGAAAATAACAAAATGCAGAACATCCCAAAAACAAGGAGGACGCAATCCTGGCAACAGTAAAAACCACATGCCAACACTTAGTGCCCACCACGTACAACGGAGGCTGGCGTCCAGGATCTGGCTCATATTATGCTTAATTATAAGCGTATATATGCAACAACAGTGTGGCTAGGATCTGACCTCGCTTAGCTCATATTACACGCCAGTCTAGTCCAAACTGGTCCCAAAAAATAAGCACACAAACAAACACGCTAAAACAGACACACACACTTTGGTTTGTCGTGGCCTGTAGTGTGTAACTGCATTGACCAAAAGTTTGGGGCACCGAAAACTTTTCGCTTGCCTTGCAGCTTTGTGTCAAAGCGAAAGGCGTTGGCACCAGGACGAAAATCAGGAGCAGGACTTCTGCGATGTCTTTCGACACAGTCGCCGAAAGTTTTGTGGCTTGGTTGCGGAGCGGTTTCCTTCGCCTTCTTATCAGCGTGAAAACACAGCCACCAAGCAAACACCAAAATGCTATTAATGTTTGCTTGTCGATTGCTTGCAGGACACAAAAACAACAATTTTACAAATATCTAACTGCGAACTGTAATCCTTACAATGGGATGTGTATTGCAAATATTGCTAGTTTACCTAAAAGAGTATTTTATTTATTTATTATAAATTATGGAATAGTTAGCAAAACTAATACTGCTTTACAGACAAAATCAATCAAAATTTTATACAATTACATACAATAATTATACAATTATTGCATGCATTTTGTATGGTCCACTTCTTCTAGGAAATTCTAAGCATATGCCGAATATTTTATGACGGCACCATTAAAGTTCATTACCAAAGATTTCCCGCTTTGTCTGCATTGCCATTTTGTTGCAGTATGGAAATATATCAAAAGTTAAGGCTGTCTGTGCCTCAGTTGAATCGTCGGCAGGACGCCAGACTGTGGAGCCGACAACTCGAGACTCCCTGCCGATGTTGAAGATTTATTATTTATCAGTGCAGATTGTGCAACTACTTTGTTTGCTCCCTTCCCGTCTCGCATTTCTCCCATCCTCGAAGCTCAGTCATGTGTGCAGCATAAGATTCCTTAAACACACACGCAAGTCCTGCAGGCAATGCTTATATCCTTTGGCTGGCAAGCAACCTATATGCATTGTCTTGTAACTGAAAATGCAGATTGTTTACTGATGTTAGATGCTATTTTCAATGGCTTCTTGCAGTGTCTCGAATTTCCAATGAGAATTGCCCGGATGTTGTCGGTTTTCAGCTACAGAGTTGATGGATGAGCAAGGTAACTAAGTAAATAGATGAAAAAGTTTGCTCAAGTTCATCCACAAACAAATCGAACAGACCAACCACTGTATTCCACTGTATTATTTTAGTATCTTTCAGAAAGCTCAACCCAAAATGAAAACAAAGGATCTTTGGTCGGCCTTTCTAAACAATTCAATTACCGACATAAACAGCAAATAAACAAGCACAATAATAGTGAGGAAAAGTTTCCGGAAACTGCAAGGAAAAACTAAATGAAATGAAAATGAAAACTAGACACGCAGACAGAAAACTGAGAATTATCTCGGCATTTCGTGCAAACGAAAGCAGAAAATTCATTTTTTGCCGCAGTCAGCTGACGTTATCTTCCACCAGTAGTCTCTTTACTCCTTTGGAAAACCTCCTTGGCTGCATTTAACTAATTGCGATAATTAATTAGGACTAACAACTGGAGTTTGGGTAAAAGTCTGCCGCATGGATAGCACAACAGCAGAAACCACAAGACCTCTGGACACGCAAAGAACGCCTATATGAAGGTCCTGAAATCTGGCCCTGGATATGTGCTAAGCTCTGGGGATTACTAAATTGATATATAAAGTTCGCTTTCTGGGTTCTTATGCATTATGGTGTTAATGGCTTTGCATGGCTTCCGACACGAGTTTTGTCTTCATATTTGCCAGAGGTTGGCTGAAATAATAATTATGGCAATGGTAAATACTAAAGAAAACGAAATGCTATAGTACACATAAATGAAAAATTAGAACGTTTGGGTGAGTAGAAGTATTTTCTTTTGATTTTTGGCGTATTCTCTGAGCTTAATGATATAATATAAATGTAAGTAATATGTGAGAAAAAATAAATCTTTTAAAGATATAGGAAAACGATGAAAAAATACAGCTATCAAAAGCAAAGATTAATTATAAACATAGACAAAATCAAAAAGCGACAAAAGTATCTATAAGGAAGTTATACATTTTACCAACCCAAATGACTGGCTTGGTTTCATTAATTAATGAACTTTCCGCGAATCCTCTGTGACTGTCCTCACCCCTTTGACACTCTTGCTCTAGTTAAAAAAACAGTTTCTTTCACTTTGGCCATGCATGAAAACCCCGCAACTTGTTTACTCAATGCCGGCTTTTTCACTTCAACACTTGGGTGTTGAGTTTGGTGGCCCCGGGGAGAGATAGACTCAACCCTTTTGGGTCGAAATTTTTGCATAACAAAGCGGCAAACAGATGGAGGAAAGTGCCGGCGTGCCAGAGTCGTGGCATTGCAATTTATTTAATAAAAAACGCAATGTCGACGACCCAAGCAATTGAAACTTTTTCAACCGCAAAATACTAAAGCATACTTCTAGGCAATAACGTAATTCAAATGCCCCGTAGACGACGACACCAACAAACTTTGCACATTTTTTTCAGAACCCTTCCTCACTTCCCCGAAAAAAAAATGAAACTAGGGGGTTCCATGAGCAAAACTGAACGCACAAGCAGAGGAAAAGTTTTCCAAAAATGGCGTAAATTGTCGGATCCCCCAAAAACAGAACCCTTTGCCTTCCCCACCCATACTCATACCCACTTTTTTTCGGTAAATAGTGAGGAACCACGGGTGACCAAGTGGGAAAGTCAAAGCCTCGCGCGGCATTTACTAAAATATTCATGGCCTGGTGAGTCGACACCCCATCAGTGGGTGTTTTACAGTGGGTGGCTTTGTAGGTGGGTGGCGGAAGGACGAACTGCCAACGAACTGGCCTTTGTACTTGAATTGGTTCCGTCGCCCGTCTGCAGTTTTTGCTCTTTTTGTTTATGACACGAATGAGCGAAGTTTTTGATATTTGTTGATTGCTTTTTCGGCTCTGATTGTGGGCGTTAGAGTGGGTATTCCGATGTAGTGGGCGTGGTCAACTGGGGAGAAACAAATCTATTTGCATTTTGATTTCGTTCCTGTTGAGAGCCTCAGTATGAATAATTGTTTAATTGTCTTGTCATGGTTGACGAGTTGATGGCAAAACATTTTAAATAAAAACAAATAAGAATTTATTTGAAATATGTAATGCTGACGGAATATTAAAATAATAACTAATAACATTTTCAATAGATAATATATATTTGTTTTTTATTAATTTTTAATTTATTTATCATGAATATAGTTTAATACATTTTAAATTAATTTAATTTATTAAAAAGCCACTGATAGAGTGCAACTTAAAGCACTCAGCAATTTCATATTACCGTATTCCTCCATTCACTTATCTAGACTAAACCCTTTGCACTCTCCTTCGCCATTAGCGGAAAACTCCATTCAATCAAAACACTTCTGTTTTGCATTTCTTCCTCTTAAAAAAATAAGCGGAGACATTTGCAAATGTTTTCATTGCGTGGGATGCGTGGGATTGTATTGATGATGCTGAACTAGTGATTTCTTTTAAAGGGAAATTCTTTTATGTATCTTGGATATGCATAATAGAAAGAACTCGAGTGTGTGTATTATGGAAGTGAGGATAAAGTGCTTAAAGTTTACGTTAAAACGGTTTTTTAAGTTTGCAGAAAGGTGCAGTTTAGACTTTTTAGGAAATACCAGTTTACAGTTTTGCTTAAATTAAAATATTCAAAATTAAACATTTTTTAAATTAAAAGGATGCGCCTTTTTCAAAAATAAGACCGTTATCCAATGATTGGCTTAAGTAATTTCGTATTCCTCGACCGAAACTCGCATGACTGGTGCCTCAAAAGCAATTTGTCCGATGCAATGCCATAAACTGGCTTTCTAGAATTTTGTAATAGCCCCCGATAACAATGGCTTGGCACATCAACAGGACTGGCTGCGAGCAGTACTCCTTGAGTGACAGGATGCCAAGGAGGCTAGGGGGTTAGGCCGGGAGGCAGGCGTGACACCGAGATGGCCAAGGATAGATGGCAGGTTGGATTAACCCCGTTCCCTGGCCGAAGTCACTGGCAGGACACTTGACTGGCGGTTGGTGGAAGTTGAGGTTGCCTGCTGCCAGGATGCTGTGCAATCGGTTTTCCTGGTCATAAGGACTACCCCCTTCAAGGCCATAACAACAAATGGCCAAAGCAAAATGGATGTCGACAGCAGATGCTTCAGTTCCTTCTGCTGGACGTCATTTGCATTTACTCATCCACCATTCATCCTTCGGACCGATTTCAAATGATGCTATTTGTGGTGAATCTTTGATCGATGATTATTATTTATATAAACCGATTAGTGGTTTGCGTGTACATTTATGGATATGTGCAAAAAGCGTACCTTATAATCTGACGTAATCAATAACTGCAAAAGTTTATAAATATCTGGC